CTGCCCTTATTGAGACGACGCTGAACCTGGACCACCCTCAAATGAGGACTGAGGACACTTTGGACCCAAACTGTCCCTATGGATCCTATGTGCAGAGCTGAGCCCCAGCTTCCTGAACTAAGGGCCACGTCCCCTCCCCAACCTGTCCCCTGTTAATGGGATGCCACACTGCAGGACTGCTCCAAAGCCCCCCTAGGGGGTAATTGGGGCACACTTGTACCCCCCAGTCCGCCCCAGTCACAGGACAAGGCTCATCTGCCCCCCTTCCCTGTCCCCCCTATGGCCCCTAATAAGGCCATGGGTTCATCAGGAACCCCCCAGCTTCCTCCCTCTCTAGGGCACACCTGGACCCCCCCAAACCACCCGTAATAGGGATGGGGCTCAGCTGGACCCCTCACTGCAATGCTTTCTCCTCCCTCAGTGTCCCTCTGTCCCCCACTACGTCCCCTTCCCCTCCTGGTCCCCCAGCCACCCAGTTTGGGGCTGGAAATGATGAGATTGGGCAAAAGCTGGTGCCAAAACCATGGGATCTCCGGAGGGTTTTCTGTAATCTCTTTAATACTGTGTAATACTTTTCTTTTTAAAATACAGTATTTCTTGAGGTAGACCATTACAGCTCGAAAGCATTTCTTATTTTCAGACATCAATAAGACATGAATTAAATATTTTCATGTACAATATGTTGCAAAATGAGGTAGAAATGGTTACAGAGAGCGTACAAAGTCAAATAATGATAATTAATAACAATAATTAAAAAAAAAAAAAAAAAAGAAGTCTTCAGGAACCCAGTACCACTTTTTGGAGGAGATGGGGAGGAGGCGGAGGTGCATCCCCATTAATGCCCTTTGTGCAGGGGCTCCCGTGCACAATTCAATGGGAAAATGAGAAAGAAATGGGGGAAAGACCCCCCCAAAATTGGCTCCTTTGGCATCCTGAGCACTGCGGGGGGGGGGGAAGAACCCCGTGCCCCCAATGCTCTTCTGCTCTGCATGTGCAGACCCTGAGGTTTGGGGGGAGACCGACTCCCAAACACAGTACATAGCACTAAAAAAAACCCCAAATATTATTATTATTATTATAATTATTATTATTATTAAGCAGAAAATAAAACGAACCAACGAAGGCAAGCGAAAGGCGACGACCCGAGGATGCGGGGCGTCAAGAAGGGAGAAAAGAAGGAGCCAAAAAGTGGTGCTGGGGATGGATTCCAAAGCACAGCGGGACGCGAAGCCGCGAGGGCAGCGGGAGCGAAAGCAAAGCCAGGGAAACGCCGGCGCCGCGAGAGTGAGAAGCACCGGAATACATTCAACTTCCACCTTGGTAACAGCTTCAAGTTTGGTTACGGGTTTGGGGTTTTCTTTTCTTTGTTTTGTTTTTCTTCTTTCTGTCACCCTTTTTTCTTTTCTCTCTTTTTTTTGGAAGCAAAGAACACGAGGCAGTTTTTGTCCCACCTCTGCGAACCCTTAAAATCTCTTTTTTTTTTTTTTTTTATTTTTTTTTTTTTTCCATTTCTGAGAAGATCCAAAGAGTTTTTAAAAAAAAATTTTTATTTTTTTTTTTTTTTTTTTTTTTTTTTTTTTCCTTTTTTTTTTTTCCCTTTTTTTATTATTATTATTATTTTTTTTTTTTCAATGCTGAGGTTCATTCATTTCCTGAGTAGTTCGAAAGAAAACGAAACAAAACGAAAACAGCACAAAGAATAAAAAAAAATCCACCAAAAAAAGAAACAAAAACCAACAAAACCAACCTACACAGCTTACAAAAATAAAAACGAAGTCTAGTATATTAAACAATCTACAGCATTTTACTCCAAAGCCCTGGGTTCTGTGGTCCCCCCACCTCCCTGTGCTGCTTCCTCCGTCGCTGCCATCGATGTTTTGCTTGGGAATAAGTGAGAAGAAGGAAAACCTCCGCACGCCGGCATGGGGACATGAGCACCCATCCTCTGTAATTAATAAAAGCTTTAATTGCGGCGCGTTTTCAGCTCTGCTCATCGCATCTGAGCGACGCGGTGGAGCTGCGGATGCCCACGAGAGTTGGAGCAGATGACCCTCGAGGTTCCCTCCCCGACCCTACGGTTCTGCGATGGAGGCCTGGATGTTGGCGGCACGGAGTTGCGCCGATGATCCTTTGGGTTCCCTTCCAACTCAACCATTCCCTGGTTCTACGACTGAGCTCTCGACGGCCCCCCGCACAGGAGTTGGAGTTGGGTGACCCTGAAGGTTCCCTTCCAATTCAACCAACCCCGCGGTTCTGTGACTGAGATGTGGATGCTCACTGCACGGCAGTTGCACTGGATGACCCTTCAGGTTCCCTTCCAACTCGACCCATTCTACGGTTCTGTGATCCTGCGGTTCTACGGTCTGGAAACGGCTGCAAGGGGAGGCGGGTGAACAATAAATAGGTTATCCTGAGTTCAACGAGCGACTGCTTCAGAAAAACAAAGGACCAAAAAAGCCCAGTCCTATCAGAAACCCTAAGAAAGAGGTATGTTGGTTGTGGCCGGGTCTTCCCGGTCAGTGCCTGGACCCGTACATCTTATCCCACTCAGCAAACAAGTCCAGCTCCTTCTGCGAGGCGGCGGGGCGGACCTTGCAAAAGGCCTTCTCAAAGTCCTTGTAGGAGGTGGGTTGGATCTGGCCTGGCAAGCCGTGCAGCGTGGTGGCCCCGGCGTGCTGGCAGAGCTGGATCAGCTCGCTGCCCGAGAAGCTCTCGGTGTGCTGTACCAGGGACGCCATCTCCCGCTCGCTCAGGCAGGAGCTCTGCTGAGCCAAAGCGTGGTGGAGGATCTGCCTCCGGGCGATGCTGTCCGGTGGGGAGATGTAGAAACGTTTGGCAAAGCGCCGGTGGGAAGCTTCGTCCATGCTGCCGGGCCGTGAGGTGGTCCCTATGATGACCACGTTCTGCTCGGTCGAGGTAGCTACATTGTCCAGGTAGGAGAGGAGCTGAGACTTGAGGTTTCCAGCCTGGCCGCCGTCCTGGGCCACCAGCAAGGATTCCACCTCCATGATGAGCACCACCGAGGGCTGTCGGCACTTGGCCACAAAGAAGACGGTCTGGAGGATCTTCTCGGCTTCGGCTTTCCAGGTGGTGAGCAGGGCAGCGGCGCTGAGCTTCAGCAGCGTGGAGCCCAGCTGGGTGGAGATGCAGCGGCTCAGGAGGGTCTTCCCGGTGCCGTGCGGCCCAAACAGGAGGATGGTTCTGGGCAGCCTGCTCGCCCCAGTGTAGGCACCAGGTCGCAGGATGGGCCACACCAGCTCCTCCTCAATGGCTGCTTTGATGGAGACCTGCCCGGCGATGTCCGTCCACTGCACGGGCGGCCCGCGCTCCACGATCTTGGTGTTCACCAACTCCAACACCAGCGGGTCAACGTTTTTGGGTTGCTCCTCCACTGCTTGGCTGCTGAAGACGGGCGCTTTGGGTGGCAGCCTCAAAGGGAAGGGGTGTCCCGGCTCGGCCGCCCGCTCCCCGTTGGCAAGGGGAGGGCTGAACTTCTCAAAGGACTCTGTGGGTCGCAGTGGGGCATCCCCAGCTCCGTAGGGCGGTGAGACCACGCTCTTCATCGCCTGCCCACCGTATTTACTGCCGTGCTCCTCAGCGCTGCCCGCCGGCCGCTTGCTGGCACTGGGGAAGCCGTTGCCTCGGCACTCGCCGTTGTCCGACATGGGGTAGGGGGACTTTGGCTGCTCGTAGCTGTATTTCCGATATCTGCCCTCTGCTTCATCCTCCCCACCGGAGATATCGAAAGCTTTCCTCTTCAAGGTGCCCGTCGCTTCGGTGCCCAAAGGCGGCACAGCCAACGAAGCCAACCCGGCGGCTTGGTAGCCATAGGTTGGCACCACAGATGGGCGAGTGGTGGGCCCGGGGGCCGGCAGCGGGGTAGGGGCTGCGATGCCTGAGGGCAGGTAGGAGGCGGAGGGATGGGGTGGGTGGATGGCTCCATAGCCCGGCTGTGTGGCGTAGCTGCCCGAGGCGTAGTTGTAGACGGGGCCGGAGGAACCGTAGCCCGGCACCAGGGCGGATGAGGGGTGCGTGGGCTGCAGGAGCCCCGAGCTGTGCAGGGTGGGTGGATGCGGAGGGGCAAGTGCTGTGCTGGGCTGGCCGCAGTAGCCGGAGGGCAAGTAGGTGCTGCCGTAGCCCGCAGGGTACTCCTGAGATGAGCCCAGCCCGCCGGAGCCGCCCGCCGCTCCGCACGAATTCCCGGCGTAAATGGGATCAGCGAGGTTGGCCGACACCACCGGGGAGCCGGCGAGCCCCAGCGGAGCGCTACCGGCCGGCACGGCGGGTGGCACCACAGCCTTGGCACCGGGGAGGCCATCGTGGATGGAGGTCAGTGGGTAGGCGCCGTCGGAGCCGTGAGGCACAGGCCAGGGCTCACCGTCCCCTTTCTGCCCGTTAACGGGCCCGAAGGCGCCATCCCCATAGCCGCTCAGCGCCGGGCGCTCGTAGGGCGCATCCAGCACCCCCGAGTATTTCTCGGCGTACCTCTTGAGGAGGTTGGAGGCGGTGAGTGCTGAGATGTCGTCGTTGGCCCAGGCGTAGTTGAAGCGCTGGCGGGTGCTGGGGTAGAGGTCGGACTTGTGGGCTGGTGAGGAGGTGGTGGAGGAAACGTCGAGGTGCTGCTCTGGCCACTGGTTCAGGGACTGGGCATGCTCTGGTGACCAGTGCATCTTCGACAGACCTACAGGACACAGGGATCGTGGTATCATTAAGGTGTCAAAGACCCCCAGGATCATCGAAGTCTAACCCATCGAGCCACGTCCACCAGACCATATCCCCAAGTGCCACATCTACAGCAGCGTGAGACCAACAAAACTGGGACAAGCGCCCTTCTGCACTGCTCAAAACCCACCAAACCACCCATCCCCCGGACCGTGTTGTACCTCCTGATCCCAATCAGACAGAATTGAGGAATTACAGAATCACAGAAAGGCTTGCATTGGAAGGGACCTTCAAGACCATCTACTTCCAACCTCTGTATCCTAAATTATACATCTCACAGTCAAAAATGCCCCCCACCACCCTTTTGCATCATCAGTGCAAACACCTTGCACCACTGATGCAGACACTCCCAACAAGTACTTCAGAGCAATCATCCAGATCAAGTTTTGATGATCCAACAGAAAGCAGCACCCACATCATCAAACCGACCCATCACCCAACACAAGACAACATCCATGCTATCGTACCAGGCCCTCCCAAACCTCAGCAGCAGCTCCAGTCCCAGCATCCTGCTCTGTTTCTTTCACCTGGACCAGAAGCCAGGCGTTGGCTGGCCACTGCGCACCCAGCATTAACAACATCTTAATAGATATATAATAATTACAATGAACGGAATATCAATAATGGCTTGCCCCAGTGACTGAGAACCTGGTGGGAAAGCAGGGCGAACCCAGGCCCTGCAATGCACCCAAGTGATGGAAGGGCTGGAGCCAGGATCCACCCCTTCCCAGACCTCATTTAAGGGTTGGCAGCGGAGGGGAGGGCATCTCTTTGGAGATCCCTGTGTACCCGAGGCTTTCTGAAGGTAAGCAGCTCCTTTCCTTTGTTTCTGTGTCCCTGGCTGTCGCATTTGAGCAAGTCCTCACTTGCTGCAGCACAGGGCTTTGCTGCTCTGCTGCCATCGCTGTGTTTTGCATAGCATTGCATCAACATATTAATAGTTTTATGGCATATTATCACTGAAATTGTAGAATATCTTGGGTCGGGAGGGACCCATAAGGATCGCTGAGTCCAACTCCTGGCTGCATGCAGGGCACCCATATTAACTGCTCTGCCAATGCATTAATAGCATTTGGCACATTCTCAGCAAGGAGGGAGGTGGCAGAGCACAGACAGCTCTGCAGCAACGCAACGGGGAGGATGGCACGGGGAACGGAGCAGCCCCAGCCAACCCCACGTGTTTCTGCTCAGGGAACAAAGCCTGGGTGGGAGCCGTGCATCTCCCCCATCCCCAGGGCAGCTGGGGACGTGGACTTGCACATGGAAGCTGTCCCACCTGGGCCTGCGTCCCTCTGCTCAACCCCTCGTAGTGGTGAACGTCCCTGCTGGGGAAGAAAAGGCAGAAGAGCCATGGCAGCCCCCGGCCCCATTGTTATCTGCCGTGCTGAGCCCCCCAGCGGCCCCCCCAGCCCCACACAAAGCTGCAGTGGGAGCAGGAGGGCCCTCACGCCCCATTCAGCCTTTAAGCCACTTTGTGACCGCGGCACAATTAGATTACTTAATGCTTTAATTGACTTATATGGCATTTGTACTTCCACTTTGGATATCAAACTTCCACAAGAGGATTTAAATGGCGGCTTTGCCTGGCTTTATCTGCCATCCCCCCCTGCATTTACTCACCATTATTAAAGTGCTACCGAGAGATAAACGCTCGGCCAGAGCTGGTGTGCAGGAAAGGGCCTTTCCACCGAGCACAAAGACAGCTTCCCAGCAAAGCTCTGCTCCTGCTGCAGTTCTTGCCCTGAGCTGTGCATGAGCAGAATGCAGGGCCAGAAGGGAGCAGAGGCACCGAGGAGCTACGGAAGGGAAAAATGAGGCTTTGCTGAGGAGTGGGGCATTATGTAGAGGTGTGTTTTGGGGGGGGGGGGGGGCTGAAGCACCATGAGTTTCCACCCTTGCTAGGTGCACTGAACAGAGATGTGCTTCCTAGATCAGGACCCAAACCTCAAAATGCTTCCTATGGGTGCTCAGAACCCCATCAGTGCTGGAAATGCCAATGCAATTTGCTTTTCCCCCTGTAGCGTGGATGGATGCCAGCACCCAAAGCCTAAAAATCCCTTGTTTAAAGGAAGCGCAGCGTTTGCTTTGCAGCGCCCTGAGGAGGGCGGGCAGCCCCGGGGATGCGGTGCTACAGCTCCATCCCAGAGCAGCACAGCAGAACGAAACGCAGCCGTGCATCAGCGCAGCGATCAGAGCACGGAAGGGCTGCGAAACCCGGCTGCGAAACCCGAAGCGCTTCAGCGCACGGCGCAGTTGGGAAAGGGAAAGCAAAGCCATGCGAACGCCCTGCAAACCCGGCGGAGGGGGAGGGTTGGTGGGACGGGGAGAAGTTGTCAGGGGGCCGCGATGTGACGTGAATGAGCGCTCGGAGCGGGGACAGATGTTTCAATGCTCCCCTTGGCAGTGTGAGAAAATTACTGTCCAGTGACCAAATGGCACGGCCGGTTCCCACCCTCGCTGCTGCCCCATTATCCGCAGCGCAAGACAAAGGCGGGCAGGGGGGGCTGGGCAGGGGAGAATCCTATTGTTCCCTCCCGCCCTAATTATGGAAATCTTGTTAATCTATTCAGCAGCGGCTCTGAAGTGGGCTTTTGTTCGGGGCCCTTCTCGCTGCGCGCAACCGGGGCGCAGCACCGAGGGCGTCCCGATGGCGCTGGGTTGGGGTGCGCTCCCCCCACGACCCCTCCTGGGGGGACCTCGTGCAGCTGTGGGTGTCCAACACGTGTGTACGCAGCAGTGGGTGCTCTCGGCTCTCTCAGCTCTCCCCAAAGGAACGGGGTTCCCACGGATATGGAGGGTTTCCACGCGTAGCATCGAGCCAACGATGCGCTGAAGTTGGGGTCGAAATCCAAGTGAGCACCTGTGCCGGAGCAGCCCTGCGAATGCTGGCTGTGCCTCGGTTTCCCCTTTGCTTTGCAGCCACCAGCCAGAGGAGGGAGGAAGCACATGCAGCAGAAGCAAACCGATGAGCCTCTCATTTTGCTCGTACTGCTGTCATCTTGCTGAGGGCTCCTTTCCAGGGGGAGGATTTCTGCTCCTTCAAGACTCTGCTTAGCTCCATCATGCCCCCATTGGCCCCAGAGCGAGCACGCTCAGCTGCTGGGGGTCCCACCTCTCAGCCCAGCCCCTGACACTTCCCATAGTCCTCACAAACACTGCTCACACCGATCTCTTTCCATCACACAGATGGGTTTTCCCAGCAGGATTTTGCTCTCAGCACCCCCAGCTCGGTCGGTGCAAGGCCCTGTCGCATGCCCTCGCAGCACGGGTGCAGCTATTGCATGCACAGCTTTGCATGCTGCAATAGGATTTGTTTCGGGTCTCGAACTGCGCCTCAGTGCTTTGCAGCCCTGGGGTTTTGCAGCCATGGTTCAGTGCTTTGCCACTGCAGGAGATGCGGTGCTTCAGCGGAGGCCGAGCAGCACGAGGCTCTCCAGTGCATGGGAGGGCGGAGGGGTGGTGGTATTTCTTGTAAATGAGGCATTTCCTGATGATCTTTTTGCCTTCTGCTGTGCAGAGCTCATCCTGGCCCGGCTCACCCCTGCCTCACAGCAGCACCGTTGGTGTTACAGCGAGTCAAATCCTGGCAATAAAAGAGAATTATGGCCAACGCGGGCGTGCTTGGAGCTGGGGGCTGTGGCGAAGTGCTGAAGTGTTTTCACAGCGCTGCTATAGATCACAGTGTTGTTTTGGCTGGGTCACCTCCAGCACGTCCCCAGGAACCAGAGGGGAACCCCTGGACCCGGGGCCACAGAGTGATGCGAAGAACCACAAGGTCTCTGCAGCACTCTGTTCTCTGATGGATCTTCCAGATGTTCCCTCTCTGGGGCTTCTTTCCTTGCTGACACAGCACTCCAGAGGCTGCATCTCCCCTCTGCTTGTAGAGATGGTCAGATGGATGCCAGCTTTGGCAGTGCCCCTACAGCTCCCACCTTCTGTGCTTCTTGCACAGCTATTTTGCATCTAATCGGAGCAGGCAGAGGAGCAGCTCCATCTGTCCACGGTGGTGACTTGGGGATGCTTCCCTCTTCCACTCCTCCATATCCAAGCCGTGCAGCTCACGGTCCTCCAGCACAGCACAGATTTGGAGTTTTAGGAAGCTGGCCGCCAAGACAGCAGGTTGGTTTGCACAGTGAACCCAACACGTTCCCGGCTGCCCCCCAACAAAGAGAAGGACAGGACAGCGACCACAGCACAGCCAACATCAGTGTGGTAAAAGGAAGGTGGCAGCTCCCACGTGCCCCATCCCCACCCCACAAGGATCAGCCACCACGTGGGAGCTTGGGGCTCAGCTATTCTGCCCAACCGTATATCACACCCAGAGCAGCTGGACATCAGGATGCAGTGCAGAGGGCAATGGGCCACAGCCCATCTGTGCAGCTCCAGGATCCGGCCAGAGAATGAAAAATTAATATGTGTCTGTTCAGCCCGGCGGCAGCTGAGCATCATCCTCCATCTGGAGAGGCAGTGCTGGGGGTTGGAGGAATCCCCAGGATCAGAGGATGTGGGTGGGAAAATGGGGGTCTCTGTGATAATGGGTGCCGTTGGTGGGTTTGAGGCGTTTTGCTCCACCTTTCAGTATTTTAAGGAGGATGGGAGAAAGAGGGGTGACAAGGATCTGAAAGGAAGTGGGAATTATTGGCTTATTTCATCACAGCATCACACGGTTCTGGTCCATGGATGCTCAGTGCTGGGATCTGCCTGCAGGGGATGAACTGCAGCGTGAATCCATCCCCGTGCTGCCCGCTCTGCCATAGGGGCATTGCAGCACGTGCAGAACCCCAGCTCTTTCTGCCATTTCCTCTGCTGTCACTTCTCACCTTGTGGATGCTCTCCTGCCCCAAAAACCCTCAATTTTGTCCGAAGTTTGCTGGGTTGGCATTTAGGCTGCGACCTCCGAGCAGAGCCCGTCTTGAAGGGCAGCTCCCAGTAGGAAGGGCTTTGGTAGAAGCTTT